ACTTATCTTATCCTTTTCAGTTTATATACTGTAATTTCTTCTTGACTATTTGGGATTTGCAAGATATGCAAGCAATTATAATGCACTCACTTAATTATTATAATTAGCGATTAACATGCAATCATTATAGTGAAATAATGTAAATTTAGAAAAAAAAATTTAGTGATTCTGATAAATAAATGAGAAAAATTAAACGTTATATGAATTTTAAATAAAAAAAATTGATAAAAAAGCAAGACGTAGATCGTAGGGTATTGCACGACTGATGATGACAGCTATATGTTACTTGTTACCGGAATGGCGTCAAGCATCGTTCGGAAATGCTATAGCTGCTTTACCGGCTCTTCTTATTGTCTTTTTCATTTTCCCGGAAAGCCCAACATGGTTACATAGTAAGGTAATTTAATAATATATTTTCGTTTTATTTGTAAACATTTAATGAATTAGATAAAACATTTGTTTTGTATTGTTTTTCTTTTTCTCTTTTAAATCTTTCTTTTGAAATTCACCAATTTTCATTTTAATTTTTGAATTGAAATTTAAAATTTTATAGAATCGTATAGATGAAATGCGTGAAAGTGAGAAAAAGATTGCATGTATAGCTGGCATACCATATGCTGAAGTAGAACATAAAAGGGTAGAAAAAAATAAACGTTTGATTGATGTCATCCGAAATCCAAACTATGCTAAACGGTAAACTTCAATTTTATATATTAACCATTTTTTTTTTTTAAATATTTTAAATAGAAATTTAAATGTCAGCATTCAATTGTGCATTTCCTGATGAATTTTTCCTAGTGATTTCTCGGGTAATGTTGAGATAATGCTTACCTACTACTGATTGCATTTTTAGTTGAATCAACAGGTCTATCATTTATTTGTAATTAATATTCCCTAAAATTCTTTACCTCAAATTTTTTACCAAACTACCTCGTCTTAATATCATGACAATTTAATATTTAATCATATAACGTATATAAAAGTTAGAAAGACTACTGTCAATTTTAACGTATATTGAAATCGAATACTCTAATTATTTCTATCATAATATAAAGTAAAATTTAAAATAAGAAGAAAACTATATATAAAGTATTACTAAATTCATTATATCTAAACAATTATAACAATTTAATATAGCAGCATTAAAAGATGGTAAATGTAAACTAATCTTACATTTCTTATTTCAATCATTTCTCGTGCATTCAAAAAAAAAAAAAAAATTACATTGTTAAGAAAAGAAGGATGATGTAAAACATTAAAAGTAGCTAAAAGTTTTAATGAAAATTTGTGATTAAATGAAAATTCTTATCAAAATTTGTAATTACTTAAAATATCTCATGCCAAAATTTGTAATTGACTCTGGTCAAAGGTCAGAATTGGTTAAAATTCCAAGCTAAAATCTACAATTGATTGCTAAATCAAACTTTGTTCACAAAACAGTGGCCAGAAAAAGCATTCAAATATTTATCACAAATAGATGTTATTTAACTGCTCAGATTGTTTATCTTATGGTTAATTTGGTTCACGGCATCATTATGTGGTTATGCAATTGATTTAAATTCATCACGTATAAGTGGTAATCTATTCCTCAATCAAGCATTATTTTCCATTCTTATTGCTGCCTCTAAAGTTTGTTTTTTTTTTTGAAAATGATACAAATTATGTATAGAATCCTAAATTTTTAGACAAAAAATTGTACAAAATGTAATTTTTGAAAAATTGATTGAAAGTTGTTCCCATCGTTTATTTCACTTATTTATCTATCATTTTCAAAGCACAAAATCTTAAGGAAAAAGAAAAAAAGAGTTGAACCTAAAAATGCAGAAATAATTGGTATTAAATGATAATGAATTGCATCCACTTTCTTTACTGCTTGTAGATAATACTGGTAATTTATGATACAGTAAATAAAAATTTCAATCGACGTAAACTACATCAATATGCCCAATTAGCTGTTTGCATATGCTTCCTGACATTAACTATTCTCGTTTACCTTCATTATCAGGTTAGTCCATTATTAGCTTCCTTCTTAAAATGACTTTTTATGAATTATTACTCAGTTCTTTCACAAATTTTTGGGAGGAAGGAGAAAATTTCACATAAAAGAATTTTTTATCAAGCAGTTAGAATCAATTCAGTTTTTCATCATTACATTTAATTTAAGGGCATTGCTATACTGGTAATTAATTTAATTGGTACAGTATTTATCGAGTATACCTGGGATGCATGTTACTTATGTGCGGTTGAATCGATGCCAACATCAATGCGTGCCTCCTCTCTTGGCTCATGCTCTTTCATTGCTAGAATTGGTGCTTTACTTTCACCAACAGTAAGTTCTCTTTCCTAAGAATTTTGAAAATCCTCCAAAAAGAAAAGAAAAACTATAAGGGACATACTTTATATTTTACATAAATTCTCAACTTTCAAAAAAAAAAGTCCAACATTTTTCAAATATTTCGATTCCAACAAAAATTTTATTGATTTTCAGATCTTTTTTTTGTCAAATATATGGCCACCATCAGCTTACCTCATTGTTGTACTCGTTGGTGTAATTAGCTTAATTTCATCTTGCTTATTTCTGGTAGAAACAAAAAATATTCACCTTGACCGAGTGGATGAGGAAAGTGTCAGTGTACAGGAAGAGCAAATACCAATGGTATCAAGGAGACAGTAAGAATATAGTGTTAAAAAGTTTAAATGAAAATGAAACCTTTCCGAAATAATCATTTTAAAGAGATTTACCAAAACGATCCCCTGGTGATCGCTTGTTTCCTTTCGAGAAGAGATAACAAACTGAGATCGATTTAGATCAACCGCGTGTAAATATTTCAATAAAATTCAAACAATAAAGGTAACATTAACGAGTCCATTAACACAATTTCATTAATTGAAATTAAAAAAAGAAATCACAATATAATAGCAGTTATATTCATAAGGATGTGAGATGACAATTTCCTCCCAACTTTTTTATGCAAAACAATTATTCATTTCAAATTTACATGGCATAATCAACAAAATGTTTAATTACACACATCTCTCAGATTATTACTATAGTTCGACAAATATATGATAAAGGAACTATGGACGAAAATTAACTTCAAATAGGGAAACGATATATATTGCTCACAACAAACATCACTGGAAAATACATAGCAAATGAACCAAAAATAATAAAAGATAACGAATAAAAAGATTTCCTAAAAAAAAGTAAAAAAAAAAAAATTAAAAGATCTCCTACAGCAAAACGATAGCACTGTTTCATAATGTAATTTCATTTGAAAAATGAAAAGTGTTCAGTGACATAATAATAGTTATGAATCGTAAAAAACGAGGAAGTAGAAAAAACAAAAACAAATTTTCCTGATAAGGATATAACTTCCAATGGAAGGATCCCACCATAACTAAAGCACAAACATGAATTAACAACAGTACGTATTGTTCAAATGACAAAAGAAATAATAATGCGTCCAATTTTCAACATTCTCATCAATACCAAAAAAAAAAAAAAAAGAAAAAAAAAGAAAAGCCTTTTGGTTAATACTATCATCCACAAATAAGAAATTAACTTAGGCGTTTGAGCAGTTCAGTAGCTAAAGAAATGAAACTAATAATTAGGCCAAAACAAAAATACCTGAGACATGATTAAGTGGTAGGTCAAGTTCGGAAATATCACCCATCATTGGGAATAACGGAGTGAGATAATACTGAATATGAAACAAAAATGACTGATTGATTTCAAGTTTGATAAAACTAGCGAAAATGTGACATGAATAAAGGAAATAAATTATCGATGGAATTTTAAAAGCGAAAAAAAGCTGCAAATACCACAGTATAATGTTCATGAAAGACCTACATGATGAGGAAAACCTGAATTAAAAGATAATAATGGGAATAATAGATTCGAGAAGAGCACGCATATGGATAATGAAATTGACTTGATTCGACCAAATCCTCATAAGGAACAAACTCCAAACTTTAACCTTAAAATACCTCAAAATTCACCAGCAAGCCTTCATATCGTCTCTTGTTAATCATATGTTTTTTAAAATTCACCTAATTAAATAAAAACAGTGTGGCAGGTCTCAAAGTGTTGTTCGTTTACTCATTACTGCCTTCATAGAGTGAATGTCTTCAAAAAAAAAGTGTACATTGTAAAAACTTTGTTTACAGAATTTCTGTTTCATTCATTCATCCGTTGTTAATTTTTGTTTGGTTTAAAAGAAATATTACATGAATGCATCCTATAAAGCAGAATCAAATTAGAGTTTCTTACGAGTTATGAAAACAGTTTTCGAATCGGTATTTTGGCACTCTAGGTTGCACACAGTAAAAAAAGGAAAAAACAATGGATAAAGAGTTAAAAAATTACATCACATTTAGTAAAGACTGAATTACCGGTCAAAACAAAGGTACTATTATTACCATTAAGTAAAAAATACAAAGACTTTAATATAATTTAACCTCAACCTTCATTATCTATCTGAAACATTAGCTTTAAACTTAAGAGACCATCTCATTAACTTATATCTATAAAAATTGAATAGTAGCATTATTCCACCCAAGAATAAAACATATAAGATTAATTCATTACTTGTCAGGAATAGAAATAGCCAGATTCTAAAGACAAAGAAATATTAGTAGAGTACTCCGCTGTATTATAAAGAAGAAAGATGAGTTCAATCTGAATTAATAAATTCAACCTGAATACCTACAAGCAAAAAATTACAAAGAAAAAAGAAAAAATTAATACTTGAATCAGAAAGAAACATATATATTCAAAAGAATCATATTTGCATATGATTCATTAGCGTAATGCTTGTTTGATAAGAAATGACTTGACTTGATGTGGTTCATTTTTCCATTAGTTTATTCTAAAGGAATAGAAATATGTTTCACGTGTAAGGCACTTGGGTAAAAGATCAATAAAAAAGATAACAAATGACATACATCGAATGTGCTATGAATGAATAATATACTTACATCATTGAACATCTAACCATTTAAAATCGGATTTTGCGCGTATGAGCTTTTTCAAATTCTAAAAAACCTTCCTCCATTTGAGCATCGATATCCTGTAGACATAACATTGCATGAGTTTTAACGACCAGATCTTCATCTTGGTCCAAGATATAGCTCAGCGAATCTGCTATATCATAAAGATGTGATGGAGCTTCCTGCAAAATTGAACATTAATTCATTTTGCTCCTCAAATTTTATATTTGAACCATAAATGAAACCATCGTCAAAATACTTAGATCTTTTGATTTTCTACAAAACTTTTTACTTCTGCTGTGTATACAGAAGTGATTCAGGAATTTTAATTTTAAGAAAAGATAAAGAGTGCTAAAATACCTCAATAAGAGAAATTAATTTTTAAGAAGCAATCATTTACTTGTAGAAGACTAATATCATATGTCCTGACAATGGCACGCATTAAGTCAACAGCAGCGCGTCGTACTATTTCCGCCTCAGCATCACGTATATATAATTTAGCTGCTAGCAACATCTGAAATAACATTTAAATCAGTGATGAAAAATATCGGAAATTCAGAGGATTAAATGATCAACCATGATCACCAGGACATTATAAGCAAATCAGAAATAACGATATAACAACTGCTAAATATGCCATATATATATTAAAAAAAAAAAAAAAACTAAGAAATGAGTCGTGAAGAGTCAGCCTAAAACAAGCAAGAGTAGGTTCGGTAAAAATATAAAGTCGCATTTTAATAATATAAAAAATGTCGTAATGATAATTAAACAAAACCCTCTAGCTCACATCTTAATGTAAAATTAATTGTCAATAAATGAAAATTTCATGCTTCGAATACCTCATCAAGATGTTTGTGTATATTCAATCCACGGCAGGAAACGATAAGATTGGATAACGAAGAGAGTACGGAAGCTCGCAACATATCATCTTTAGTATGAAGCATCAACGACAACATCGGATTTACCATACGGTCAAAATAAGCTGGTGCCATTTCACCTAAAAAGTTAAACCTTTTCTTTTCCTAAAAGAAAGTCATTTGTTGTCGAACAAATCCGTTGGTACACATATTATTAACTCATTAAAATTTTAACTGCAGAAGTCTTGTATTTTATTTATTGCGTGTGTCCATAACATATATATTCTATTCACCATCGTATTTTTTATGCATTTAGTGTGTATTTCTTACTGTATTATATATAGTATAGTTAATTTGCACTGCATGATATATATGGTATATAGTTAATTAAATTGTATCATTAGCAATAAATTGAACTGTTCAAGAATTATATGATGTGACAAAACAGACAGATTCATAGAATAACGACTGGACCTACCAAGATTTTTATTTGCTTTCGCAATTGCTTCGCCGATTTTAACTCTTTGTATCAGTAAATATGTATCTTTTTCGTCTTCTCGTAGGTTGTCCACTGGAAATATTTCAGTTATTAATAATTAGATATTTATTAAAAACAAGAAAAAAATTTTGGAATAGAAAAGCACTGAGCGGAAATTCGAAACCAAAAATACAAAGCATTCACAATTGCCGTTCTAGTTTTCGAGTTACATAAAATACATCAAATAGTATCAAATGAATATTTTTAGAATAAAATTATGTGATCAACATGCTAAAAGTAGGGTTTAAAAAATCACTGCTGAATTCGAGAATAGACTTCAGCTTTTCTGCCGGGTCCAAAAAGAATTCCACCATTTCATCGAAAAACTGTTGCTTCCAATATGCTAACTCCGCCAATGCATTTATTGCTGCCAAATAAACGTAAGAATCATTATCAACAACTTGTTCTGAAAATTTTAGCTAATTTTTAACTTTTTCGAAACCAATTCATCTCCTTCACAATAATCAGTAAAGATATTTTAAAAAAAGATGTGAGAACTCTGAATCGTAAAAAATCAAATTAGAAGAAAATAAATCATATAACTGATTATCAAGAATTAACACTGCAAACCGAAAAGTTATATAACGACTACAGAGCAAACCAAATAGTCTCTTATGAAACTATAATTTCATAAGAATTATGACTGAAACTATAATTATACCGGTAAATATAACTGCATACCTATTACTGCAAGCAATAATGTCGTAAATTATGCAAAAATATAAAAAAATAAGTTGAGGAGCTGCAGAAATTAACCTAGAACAATGCGCATAATTGCGGGATAAGTAGTAATGTCATCCAGAAGTTGTCTGTTTTTTCGTCGAATACCCCTTGCTAACTTAATTAGAGCATGCCCACGGACGGATTCTGATTCATCCAAAAGATCGGATTGGATCTGTTCCAAAGAGAAAGATTCTGAACCTCGACCATTAATCGGGTTGTCGCCAATACTTGGTGATTCATCAATAAAACTAAGACTTTCACACATATATTTCAATAAAAATAATTAATAATCTCAAGCTTCATAAATGCGCATGAAAATAAAAGACTAATCAAAAATCATTAAGCAGTGACCTAAATTTGAACTCCCTCTGTCTGTCCCAAATTTATATCACTGCTTAATATACAAAGTTGGACATACAAAATTTAGAAAACAAATGCTGCAGCAAAGTGAAAAATGACAACTTACCTAGGAGCCGCGTCATCTTCCCTTGGTTCAATATTATTTGCTTTTAAAAGTGCGATAATTTCCCCAGCAAGCTGCTGGAATTCCAAATACAGCCTTTTATCTATATCGTTCAATTTTGAAACTGTATTTGAGAAAGATTGCAAAATATTTGCTCCACGTACTAGATTTTCCATGAACTATAATTCGAAAAATTAGTACAGCTAATCAGACTAACAAAATCCAAAACAGGGTTAAAAGGAACGAATCGTATTTTAACCGCTTTAAAAAGCATATTTAAATGATACATTTAAATGCTCAAATCTCCTTCTTCCTTCCTGTATTTTGATAGCTTGTTGATTAAAAATGTGCAATTTGTAGACAAAGCACAGGCTAGGTCGTAGATAAAAAATTTATTTCTAGATGTTATGATGTTAAATACTATACATTTACCAATATTATACTTTAACGACAACTTCAAATTTTGACTCAAAAAGGATTTGAGATAAGAATAAAAAACACTGACTGAAGGTTTTTCAAAACAACTAATAAGAGTGGAGAAGATAAAATGTAAAACATATTTACTTTTACGAATTCCCCTTGTTTGAAGACCAGAATACACTGAAGAATCGTTAATGCTAGATGAATATTATTTCGATCGGTAGCCTCAAGTTCTTTATCCTCCTCCGAAGGTATACCCCTTATGTCCACTGGAATCGTATTCACGCGCATATTTAATTTCACCGTGGCGACATCCAGTATGCTCTGTAAAAAGTATCCCATTATACAAAAATATCAATCTGAAGTTTTTTACGAAATACTGATCTTCATAATTTCTGAATTACCAAATTGCTTCCTAAAACAAACAAATATACATAAGAATATTAAAATTTCTTTGAAGAATTCAGTTATGACAATGAGAATTTAAATTTATGACTGAAAATTATTAATTAAAGAGAATTTCACTCCATCACTATATTCCAATCAAAGAGTTCATCAAATAATTTACCGCAACCTTTTCACAAAGGTTAACTAACCAGTGGAATGTCAATAAGATTTGCCAGGTTTTCATCCGAAAGTGTGCCGGTTTCCGATAAAATAGGTAATAAATCGTTCAAAAAATAATTCACTTTTTGTTTTCCTGAGAATTAAAAATTAAATGTAATGAAACACAACAGTGAATGTATGTAAAATAATAGTCAAGCATTGGGTTTCCAGACCACTCGTTTACTTTTATAATCCTGAATAGCAAATGAGAGTTCGAAGGTTTAGGAACCGGAGTTCTAATCTGGTCCTGTTACTGGAATTGAATAGCTTGATTAGTGAGAATTACTTTTTTCAACGTATAAAAAGCACTCTTACTTCCTTCAAAGCCTATTTCCTCGTTGTCCGATGTTTCTTCAGAACTACAAGTATTTTCATAGCTATCATTTTTGGAATCCACTTCTGCCCAACGCTCGATGCAACACATCGCTGTTCTAATTGCTAAACGACGTGATGCCTTCGGCTCCTCTCCTTGAATTTTCTAAAAAAATTTGCAAAAAGTTTCTACTCACTGAAAATACTGGATGTTGTCACATTGATGAAATTGAATATTTTATCACATTTTATGTTCCACAGTAAATATTTCAACGGCATTATAAAAATCAGTTCAGTAGATTAATGAGAAGAATCTGAATTGGACCATGAAAAAGAAAGAAAAAAAAAAGATATTTCATTTCCCTTCATTACTTATTTTTGAAAAACACTCGTACTCATCACCACCGCGTCTAGATATTTAAGTAAAGCAATAACTTCTACTTGCAAAATTTTCAAAATTCCTTTCTCGAAACGAATGAATGCATCTTCTGCTTTTGCAGGTTTTACAAGATGGATTCGAAGATTTGCATAATGAGCTTTGAGAAGCTTTAGCCAAAAAATATGACTGCCATAAATAGTTGAGGTAATCGATGAAGTATTCATTTGTTTGTTTTCTTCTTCACTGACTTCCTTTTGCTCGACTTCCTCGATCAAAACCTAAGAAATGTACAGATAATATCTTTACATTCAGAGTTTTCACTAAGAATGATTCGAAATTTTTAAATCAAAAAAACTTCGATTTTTAAATTTTTAAATTCAATTTTTAAATGAACTAGCCTTTTTGTAACTTAACTCTGGCAAGTACAAATCGCGATCATCTTCTATTTGCCGAACAAGAAATTCAGCCTGAAAAGTTGGGTTAAGTAATAACAAATACGGCCTGAAAAAATACAGAATAACCTCACTTTTACTCACCCCAATTTGTTAAAACATAAAGTGAAGAAAACAAATATAATACATAAGTATAAATATGAAATCTTAAAATACTAAAAAATCTAATACATCAAGAAATGCATTACGATCACAAGAGTAACTGTGATTAGAATTATGACCATAATTAATATGAAAAGTTTCATGACCTTTTCGTCGACTGTTTCGAATGATGGGTCGTCGAGAATTCGATGTAAAATATCAAAGATCCCCTGACCTGCATTGTCATACTCCACCGAAATTCCATGCATTCGATTTTCGTTTTCACTGTAGCTCGCATATAATAGGGTCCATAAATTGAATAGCTGTAAACGATCACTATTTCACAGTACTGCATGTTATGAAATTATATATTTAATTAAAATTATATATTTAATTACTTCCTTCAGAAACCATAGCACCGGATTAGTAAGAATCCATCAAACTACACTCCACAAAAAAGAACATTTGCTCTTCTCAATTATTTCTTCTCTTTCAGGATAAGAAACACTAAATTTTGGACCAAATGCAATTTCCACGTATATCATTAAGATCTTCAAGACTCTAGTAGGCTTAATGATCCTAAAAGTTCGAGAAATGACCTATACTGTCAACCCAATAAGGTAAGTCGAATTATCTAACGTCAACATTACTAGTTTTTGAGTTCATGACTGATGAGATGCTATGTTTAAACAGATGGACTGGAAGAAAGACAGAAGGATAGGAAATTCAGTGCATAACTAAATGAAATCAACGCTTTGAATTTTTTCTTTACCGCTTTGAATCTGCGGAAGAGTGGCAAATGCATTCCTCGTGGAAGAGCTTTGGCATAAAATGACAAAATTCTCAGCGACCTATCTAACATAGGATCAAAAAAATCGGTTTTCCTCGATGAATATTTTGAAAAGCAATCAATCTTAAGATTCTGAAATATGAGAACATTTAATTATTTATATTCATTTGCTATCATAATTTTTGTAAGAGACAAAATTTTTGATCACTCAACTACAATATTCGACATGCTTATTGTAGTAGATGTTGTACAGAACATATTCTATGCTTCGAAATTTAAAGTGAATTTAAAATAAACAAAAAAAAAAAAATTTTTTTTCGGCTAACATTTCTTCCTTTAAGTCGAAAAAAAAAAAAAAATCTCGAATACATTTAGGTGTAACGATAATTTATTTTCCTGCAATCACAAAAACAAACCTCCCATGGTAATAGCAAAGTATCGAAAATCATCTCGACTAATTCTTTTGGCAACATATCTAACACAACGGCAAAGCAAACAGCAGCATCTCCAGCATTTGGATGATTCTAAAATTGAAATTAGTGTTTACTTTCTTACTTTATTTTATCACATATTTTCTAATTTTTCCTACTAAATAAAAATTCATCTCAAACAGAAAATAATACGTTCCATATTCATAGTCGCTATAAAGCCCTTTCTTTGTTATACATGATATTCTTCCAATATCGTGAAAACCTACCGATCATGAGCTACACGTATTTCTCAATAAAACATTATTATTCTCAAATAAAAACGTAAATGGAAGAGGTTGAAAAAAAACCTAACCATTTATCTGATCACAGTATTACTATGATCGTATATGTTGGAATAATGGCTACCAATGGACTTAAAACTGCTATGCCCACCTGTTTAAGGAAGAGCACTAAATGTTCTGTAATGAGTCAAAAAAAATTAAATTGGTAGAAATGTAAATTATTCACCTCTATGACAACCAAAAAATTTTCGATTAAAGAAATGTAATATTTTTCTTTCGGCATTTTATAAGGGACTGTTACCAGTATTCGCGACAATGACTGAACAAATCCGAAATCTCCAAAACAATTGGCACCTGTAAAAACTTGTTTTTACTACTCCGAAAATAATCCTGATAAAAACCGCTAGTTTGAAAAGAGTATAGATAAAGTAACCTTCAGTTATTGCTGTTATTAAATGATAGAGTCCATTTTCCAACAACAAAAGTTTGGTGATGTGCTTGCTTACTGCCTTCTGAAAACAAAAAAAATGTAAATAGAGTATAGTAAAATTTCTGTTATTTCTGATAAGTAAACTGCATAAATTCTTCAGCAATAGAATTTGCAGTAGCTGCATCTTCAGATATTGCTTCAAAAAAAAATTAACTTACATGCAACCATTTTGGTTGTTCCTTATTTGTGGTTAATAAAATGAACAACGATGTGATCAACATAGGTCTTAAACACAAAAATTATTTGAAAAATCATTTTTGTATATATAATTAGACCCAATTAAATGATATCTTAGTCTTTGAACTCGGTGAAGTAAAATAAACAAAGTTATCTTCATTACCATAAACATTACACAGTTATTCACAAACCTTAATAATCAAGATAACTGTTTCTTTTAGTTCACTTGTCAGTTTAAACAGCTATGGATTATTTTAGCAAACACTATGTAAAAATACCTGTCAATGGTAAGAATAAATTTTCCATACTTTTGCTTGTGATATTTTTCACCCAGTTTAATCAACTGCAAATAAACACTATATTATATCGATCTTAAATATGAACTGATATCATTCCGTACAAGTCATCCGTATTTCCATTTTTTCTAAATAACACCGAGAATTATTTATAAACTGAGAAACGTTTCACAGCCACAGAGATTCAAGATGATTCGAAGAAGGAAAAACCAACAAACCTGCTCATTTAAGCATATGTAATCCGCCAGAAATTTCCTCACGACACAATTCTTAATCATCTCGCATGAATTCATCAACAAATCAAAAACTTCTAATGCTTTTCTTAACTAAAATATTTCATTTAGTCACGCTATATGCATATATATGACTGATAAAATCATAAACATAAGAATAACATTATTTGATAAATCGAATAAGCTAAGTTGTAGTAATTTAATTGTTAAGGTAATTAGAACATGGACAAAAAATTGTAAATAACGAAGAAATTTCAATTCATAAACAGTGAGGGTTAATTAACAGCAAATTCGCAAAAAGCCGATCATACAAAGCTACTCTAGCTTCGTTATTAAGATAGACTTGAACTGTTTCAGCTGCTGCACCAGATATCAAAGAACTGGAACTTCATAGGTCCAACTGCATCAAATTCACATCTAGATTTAATATCAAAACAAGCTAAAGCTTAACTATGAAAAACTTGTCATGAATGAACTTCGACAACTCCTATTCTAGGCTAAACAACAATGGCTGTTAGCGAAAATGACCTGCTTCTTTCGAAATTCAACATCGCCAACAAGAGGTTTCCAGTGCTCCACGAGACTACTTCTACCGAGATGGAGAATCACACCTGAATAATGATAAAACTATGGTGCTAATTTGTTAACATTAAAAAAGGAAAAATCATAAATCTCTGGAAGCAAAAAATATCCGGAATTTGTTTCCCAAATAATCACTGCGAGAAGAGAAACATATGACAACCCACAAACGATTTTGAAACGAAAAAGAAAATTTGGAGCGAAAAAATTATTTACCATCATCAACATATGGTCGAACTGCTGTTGGGATGATAAACTCAAACGCTGTTTCTACAATTGACAGCTGGTTAATCGATAAAAGAATCGACGGATTACTTGCCTTTTTACTCATTTCTTCCAAAATTTCTGCCACCTACAAAAAGTACCCTAGACTACGAAAAATATGTAATTTGGGAATCCGTAGAATAGAAAACCCGCTAAATGCTCAAAAACAATAAAACCATTAAAAAAAAAAGAAAAAAAATCGTCCGTAAATTGTTAACCTTCTTCAACAGATATAGCATGCGGTAGGAGTAATGAATTCGATAATCGATTTCAGTTTCTGCCACATCTCCAGTGGGTGATGGAGGTGGTGGTGCTAAAGGAGGAGATACGGAATAACTATGTTCATCAAACAGAGTAGTTTCGTTAACATCCGGATCACATGGAATATTTTCCGAATGTGGTAATCGATATTCCTCATCCAACTGTAGGTCCATCAATCCTTTACTTCGCATCAAACGCTCCAAATGTATGGTTTGATGCTTTAATGGATCGAATGGTAATCGCTTAACTTTCGGTAAACTCAGAGCTGAAAATTTTATGTGTAATATTGTGGCCATTGCTACTTATAATTTAAACTGCATACAAAAACTAAGTTCTTGAATTTCACAAAAATACGAAACATCAGACACAATATAATATGTGCCAGCCTGCCCACAGAGGTAAAACTTAACAATCAATACACTTTTTCCATTCCCAAATGCACTATGTCTTAATTTCTATGCAGTTTTCTGTCTACATTACACGAACATAATGCATTTCTATAGTGATATCTTAACAAAAAGAAAAAAAGAAATCAGATATTATATGCTACTCCCTTTTCTCTCCTGCTCACAATTTCGATGCTCCCACATTACTGATGACCAGTAACTTTCAAAATCAATTCGGACTAATGAAATATCCTTGGTACCGGAACAACAAAAAGCCCGGACTGGCCATAATGATTGAAAATTGGTTATTGTAACAAATTTGAAATCAAGATTAACTTCAAACAGTATATCCACATAACCTTGATTTAAAACCATTTACTTTATTTACAGTGAATAAAAATGTATGTCGTGATATGGTAACATAATCATAAAGCATTAAATAGATTATTGTAATGAAATTTGAAACCTACGTGTGCATCCCATTTGTATCAAATAGAGATAATCGTGAACAGTTACTTGACCCATCTCAACGAAAGCAAGAATAAAACGGGGAATCTAAAACATAACAAGGAAAAAATTTCCGAAACACTGAAGTTTTAATAAGTGTTTATCTATAGAAGACCACTACGATAATCTGATTGGTCAAAGCAATACGTTTCAGATGATAAGACTGCACTTATGTATGTCGAATATTGGCTTTTAGAACCACGGATTCACAGTAGCGATCGTTGAGTTGTCCCATCTAATCGATCCAGTGACGACCATGCTAATAATGACAAGTGGGGTCACCTGAATCCTTCACGGCTAAGGCATACAGTGCCCTATCCACCGACTTGGAATTTGATCTCACCAGCGTCTAGTCGTTTTCAGAACTGTACTAAAAGTGTTGAAATATGTAGAAGATATAAATTTCAATGTCTTCAGTGATGACCAGTCGCCTCCTGAAAACTCAACCTGAAACAAACAATTTCTGAATGACCAATTAAGTACCAATTACCGCAACTTAGTTCCATCTTTCATTCTCCTCACAATGCGTTATTTTTCTATAAATGAGAATATTTCAATAAAGCTTAAGTCCAAAATTTCAAAAAGAACGATAACAATGCGGTATGTACCAAACAAAAATTAAAAAAAAATAGACAATGACTTTTTATGATTTTTATGAAATATTTATTCTCCAACAATATCAACAATAAAACATCCGTCATTACTTATACTTTATTGAAAGCTACAATGTCAACCGACTGCACTAAATCATCGAAGCCCATAATTTGCTCTTCTAACCAATCTGAGGATACTTTCTCATCTTCCACCACACAACAGATCTAAAAAAAGCAACTTTCTTTAAACTGTTTAAAATAGTATTTCTAAAACTATTCAAATAGTCCCAGCATTTGAATTAGAATATTGCCATCCCCCAGTGTTCCACTAAATTTTTCTTTACTAACAAATCTTCCATTTTAATCTGCACTCCATTTTGAGCTGACTCTGCTATAAGCAAGATTTATACTATGGCGGCGTTATATATTTTATTTTATTATCATTTCATTGTATCAATATTATTTATGTATTATTTTCTTTAGATCTGCTATGTTATAAATTCTCTATTTAAATTTGCAGTTGCTCCTTTTATCTTCAGCCGACTTGTGAAAGTTGTAAAGCAAACTCCATACCTGAAGTTTTTTTATGCCATAAGCCACGGGCAAAACTTTTGCTGCTCCCCATACAAGCCCATCCAATTCGATCGTTCTTATACTCTTCTCGATATCGGCTATTTCAATCGAATCATCCCACGGTTTTACATCAAAAATGATGTTCGACTTGGCAATCACAGCGGGCTTTTTCGCTTTCTTCTCTTCATATGCCTTCAAAAATTCTTTGTTGGTACATTTTATTTCAATCTTTGTTGAAATCCCAATCTATGTCATCATTTTCCATGTTGTTTTAAAATCATTTAATGTTATGAAAGGGTTAAGAAACACTAATCTTATCGCAAAATTCAAAGCCAATTTTTAACTAGTTCAGAATAAATTAGGAATGCAATCCCTGTGTAGCTTTAAACCAATGAATTACTATCAACTTAACAAAACATCTTATAATTTTTTTCAGTTAACTTCAATAATAGTGATACATCTCGAGGGAGGAGAGAGAAGGGAGAAGTGGAAAAGATTTACTTAATAATCATAACTCAGCTCAGAACATTTACCAGATCAGCTGCCGCAAGTAAAACTTAAATATCACTATTCTTTATAGTTGTAATGCTTTTCACTGTCTCTTTACGTTTAATTGCTTTGGAATGGCTATATTTTTAACAGATAAATGCACCACATTATAAGCATGATCTGTAGCAACTAATAAAACTAATATAGCATAATCGCAATCATATAATCGAGTTTCGAGCATATACATATATTGGAAGGTTGAAGAGGCAAGCATGTCTGTTTTAAATCCTTAAAATTTCAAACAGACACAATTGTCTTATTAATTTCTCAAGTTCCTTTGATATATATGCAATCGTTGTTTCTTGATCAGCTATTAAGAACTAAAATCCCTTTCTTAAAAGTATTTTCGCATCTAGAACCAGCGAACAGAAAATATAAGGCGGTAAACCGAAACATACTATAGGGCACTCATGTTATTATGTTTCAATTCCAACTAAAACTAATGACCAAATATTTGACTGAGGAGCAGTCTTTATAACAGCCCACATATATGAGTTGAAGCTCAATACATTAAAGCACTTTTTGTGAAACCACAATTAACTTTACTTTTTGTAATGAAATTAGAGAAGAGAGATACTTCGATTATTTAAAATTCGTTCTTAGACTATAAATGCAACTCTTATCTCCATCTCCTCAATAATTCCATTTGCCCTTAGAATGATCCTCATTAAGATTTAAAGAAAAAAATTTTCCGAATACTGAAAACTGGCCTTTCCTTTCTTACTTAGTTTCGCCACATAACATACATGATCTTACATTGAAAAGTATTCACTACGTATTTCTTCCTAAAGCATGTAACATAGTAAAACCAAGAATGAGACGATGAGTATACGGCTTTTTTTTTCTATTTGAAATAAGCGAAAACAAATTTAGACCAACCTTAAGTCGCGCAGCAGTTATGCGTGCTTTTTCATCGTCATCTTCGTCATCAGAGCCGAATAAATCTATGTCTTCGTCAAGCTTCTCGAGAACTCCGTTGGCAGAAGTCATCGGAGCAGGCCATCTAGAAGAAAAAGAATTTCCCAAAACTTCATTCATCTTTTGTTTTTCAGAAATTAGTTAAGCCTAATGGTTGGTGATTTAATTAAAATATAGATAAGTGCCACGATGCTCATTAAAAAATGATCATTTGCATCTCATGAAAAGATTTTATTCAACCAATAGAACATAGGAAAACAAAAAAACCTTTTTTTAATGCATCTCAACTTAATTTATATATCCTGACTGAATCCAAAATAATTCCTTCAGTAAGATTTTAGACGTGTAAAACTTTTCTGACACAGATATTAAGTTGTGGCTGACTGTATTGCTTACTTTTTAATGTTAGCAAGAGTTACTGCTTTTAAGGGGATACACAAGTTATCAAGCATAGAATTAAAGAAAGCAAAATTAGTTACAATTTTCGCTCTTCGTCGTTGAAACTACTTATATTCCGGTACCATCGCAAAACATTAACATATTTCATAGTCGGTTCTGCGCTGAGCGACGCGAACAGCTGCATATCGTCGCCAGATGGTGTGTATCTGAAATATAAGTCACTACATTATTCCCGATCATCAGAAACGAAATAATATGAAATGAAATGGATGATAATGATTACTACCACTTCTTTAAGAATGCTAATGATTTAGAGTGCTTCTGAACAACATCTAATTTTTACTCCTTTCCCTATTTTCTACATTGTCCATGCCAATGATATCTTGCAATAAATATGTGGAAAATCAATCAGATTAAAGTTATGCATAAGAACAAAAGCACAGACAGTGCCATCACGACATTTTTAAATTGAAGGCTATAATGTATTTATCTCTCTCATGAATTTCTCAAAATTTGTAGCATTGCTTTACATCAATCTCAACTAACACTTACTTAATTACTTTAAACAATAAAAACCTACTTCAATAAATTATCAAGAAATCAACAAAATTAGTTTTAAAAAAATGATCCAAAGAATTAATTACCCAGACGCATATGCGAAATCTTTCAAATGGCCATCAAAAGCTGCTAATCCATCATCTGTCTTCAAATCATACATTTTAACCAAATTATGAGCAAAGTTTACCTGCAGAAAGAATAAAAGTTTATATTACTAGTTTCAATCTCTAGTGACAAATACGATTTTTTTTATAATCGTATTACGAAAATTTTCTCGAAATAGAGAGTGTAAAAATGATGGCAAATTACGCAGAAATAATTAGTGACAAATAGATTAATTGTAGAGACGTTTTAATGAAAATTGAAAAAATGTTCATTAGGACGAAAATATTCATTACCACTTATTTTCTCAACAGACATTATGCGTAAGAAGTTCTTTCTTAGCAAAAGTGAATTATATCAAACAGATGCATAATGTTAATCCGAAATAAATAAAAAGACAAAAGTGGTCAGCATGTACTGCATCAATATTATTAACAAGCAATATCGAATACTTTTAAATGATAAATCAGCTAACTGATATTTAAGCAAATCAAATAAAAATTGTTTCCAAATATGACAAAAATAAAATCTTCACAAAATTCCAAACCAAGTAATTAAAAAAATGATGTTTAATAATCACTTAGTTAACACTGTTCTCATTATTTTTTCACACAATGCAAATAATAAGAAAGAAAAATTGAATGAGCGCTGCATACAACAACCTCACTTCTCCAAATATTTCAAGTAACTATTAAAGAAATTACGCTTCAATATACGAAAATATATAGAAGCGTATCAGTGTGCTTTTTTTTTGATGAATACTGAACGGAATTTAAATCACCAAAAACCAGTCCATTTTTACAAGCATGAAAAGACGAAGAAAACTTTCTCTCAAACCCCCGTGATTTCCCGGACGAGGACAACGCACCAGCCGGAAATCATCCATAGGGAATTGTCAGTTCAGGAATTTAGCACTTTTCTATCGTATTTATGGCACTGAAATCCCCTCCGTGACTTTAAATCTCTGTTGCAGCACAAAAATTTGATCTTTTATTTGGTTTAGGGCTGAAAATTTAGTGGAATTAGATTGTCTTCAAGTGTCATTAATTGGTTATTATTGTTCATTTTCTATATCTTAGATAATTATGTGGTTAATGAAGCAATTGGAAGCAAAAATTTCTTGAATTCAAAAAAGCGAAACTCATCATTTCCCAAACTGTTGGAGCTAATTACTGCATGGAATGGAAGAAGAAATTGGATATTGGAAGCAAAACTTATATTTGCTCCAGGAAGCTGCACCACGACCATTTCCTGTTAAGTGTTTGGTATCACCGGAATCATCACCACCTCAGGTATCACGTCTGCTTTTTTTCACTGAATATTTGTCATGCTTAATTACCATTATAGTAGTCAACGTGCAACGTTGATGAGTTGGTTATATTATGTAAATTGGTATATGTTATATGTGAAGTTGGTATATATTATATATATAGCAAAACTGGCGATGATATTAGAATCGAACAAACTAATATTGAGGTTTGAGACAAAATTGATTTAAAATGCTATCCAGAAATGGAAATAAGCTGAACTGAAGTAAATTGAAATGGTGTTTTATGAATTTGAAAATCTGATTTTTTACCAATAGTTGTATTGGTAACACTTATTATTAGAATGGGTGATGCCATGCTCTTATCTTCTTTTCGTTCTGTAATGCTTAAAATTGATATTTTAGTATGGCACTGAATTTCATGGTTTAATCGAGCGTGAAGTAGCCGATAATATGTTGCTGGAAGCTGGTGAAGGCGCTTTTTTGGTCCGTGCATCCAGACGTTCACCAGGCGCTAATACACTATGTATGTTCTTCGATGGACGTGTATTAAATTATAAGTTATTCTATGATGGCATGCATTATGTTGGCGAAAAAAGGTGAATAAGTGTTGTTTATGTTATTCGAAATTACATCATAGTGTTGATGTTCGTGGTTTTTTCTCACATCATATGATTAACCATTCATACTTCTTGATGTTTCATCGGTTTTTTGTACGGCATGTAGGGTATAAGAAATTAGAGGTTAATTTATTGCTTTGGAGTAAATTCATCGTATTAGGTTTTAATCTCTAAGCTGACATAGGTTAGCAGTATTAAAATTACTATTAAAGAATAAATGAAACGGATTTTGAGGAACTTTTCAAACGGATATACAATGGATTAAAAATTAAGAATGAGAAGGTATTGTTGGTACTAAATTAAATCTCTGTTTTCAAGCAAAAATATAAGAAATGCCATCATTTGAAGGATGAGCAGAAATGATTAATCTTGATAGCAGTATTTCTGTCCCAATAAATTCAGATTCGAACATTTGGAGGATTTAGTCGCAGATGGATTGATAACGATGCATATGGAGAAACATGCAAATGATTATATACAACGTATGGCTGATGAAGCAATTTATGAGCAAAGCCCTTATTCTCAATATCAAAAAGCAACTGACTGTCGACGCCAGCCATGTGCTCGGTGTCATAATTTCACACCGGCTACATTTCGGATACCACATTATTGCGATTATTGTCGCAATTTTATGTGGGGGCTTGTTCAGCAGGTTCGTTCTTCGTTGTTATCCATTGATGAATTTTTCATCACTTCTGTTTTTTTTTTTTTTTTCACAAAGTTTCTACGTCTCTTTACAAATAGGATCATGTGGTATTCTAAAGTTTCATTTCATTTCAACAAAAAGATTGATAAAATAACCATTTTTTTTAACCGTTTTCCCATTTTTCAAAATACTGATTTTTAAAGCACACTCGATCATTATACTCATAATTTTACTTAAATTACTCAAAAAATAAAAATAAAATAATATTTCAAATGTAATGGTAATTTCAGGGTGTTAAGTGTGAAGATTGTGGTTTTTGTGCGCATAAAAAATGCAGTGAACGTACTATACATGATTGCCGACCGGAGGCGAAATATGTAAAGCGGATGTTTGCTGTGGATATCAGTACCTTATGTATGGCGCACGCTGTAAGCATTCCACCTGTTGTTTCTGCTTGTATTACGGAGGTTGAACGGCGTGGTTTGTTTGTGGAAGGAATCTATAGGGTTTGTTTAGTCTCTTTTTAAATATTTTAATGTTTTCATTGGTAATTAAGATAATAAGAGGGAAACAGTAGATAAAACAAATGTTTTTGTATGTATGTGTATAGAAAGGTTTAACTTCGTTTTCTCTTTATTGTGCTTCCTGATTTCAGTAAGTTAGGAATTGTGTAGTCATCGTACACATTGCATAATTCCAGGAAATTGATCAAACTAGAATTTCATTTCAGGTATCCGGTTCTCATGAACAAATGGAAAGATTACGTCGGCAGTTCGATACCCTGCATAAAGTTGATCTCTCAATTGTTGAAGATATTCATACTGTAGCTGGCCTTCTAAAGCTGTATCTCAGGCTTTTACCGCAGCAACTTGTGCCATTTTCTGTATATCGTTCCTTACTTACTGCTTACACTAATAATCGAGCTTTCCACGAACGATCAAAAATGTGCAGGTATATTGCTGATGCTGTTTTCTAGCAAAGGAATATTAACTATTTGGAAGATAATGCAAGAGCTACTTCATATACCTATCAAAAATCTAGGTACTAAAATATCGAGTAATTGTGGGTAAGATATCTACAATGAAAGGTATGGGATTGCATCGTTTGGGGCTATCAGTCCTTAGATTTCTGCTACGCAACTGCAATTTTTTATGTATTCTAGGAAAAAATCATTTATTAATAGGTGATAACGAGTTTTGATAGCTTAAATTACTGAACAGGTGGATCAGTTCTTTTTTCTGGCTATCATGATGTGAAGGGAATTCTCAATGTTTCTTATTCTTCATGATTTGCCAGTTGAAAAATTACTAAAATTTATTTTGTAATTTCTAGGAATTTTTTCAGGAAAGTTTTAAAAGAATTAAATGAAGCAAATGGCCGTACATTGCTAGCAATATTGATGCATATGCAAAGAGTGGCTGATAATAGTGGAGAAAATAAAATGAGTGTTGAAAATCTTGCAACCATATTTTCACCTACATTATTTTGTACCGGTACCGTTCCAGCATTACCCCAACAGCAGCACCAGCTTCTTCATTTTCTTATCCAAAATCCCAGGATTGTCCCATTTTCTTAATAAATGATTCTTTTCGGATTCACTACATTAATCATATCTACTCTTTTATCCAGGCATGTTATTATGATAAGTTTTGATGAACGATGACATATGGAATTTTGATGAACGAGGGCTTTCATGGAAAATTATGGGTTTTTCTTTTAGTATGGAATTTCGGAAAAGCCGATTTTAGTATACTTTGATCAATTTTGTGTATTTATCGTGCTATCATTTGTTTGTTGTTTGTATAAAGTACAAATTGATGTGATAATTGGCTCAGGTATACTATTTCAAGAATAGTCAAATGTATTTTGGAGCGAAACAGTTAGGCCGGCCAAACAAGTAAGAATTTCATTGTTAGGTTTGTTTTTTGAAAACGTGGGTTCGTTGATTTGTTTTTGTTAGTGTTTAGTTTTTTGTTGCGTGACTATGATCTTTGTCTTTTAGGAAAAGATCACTTATTACTAGATAGTAAGAGGGTTTTTAGGTCATTTTTTGGATCACATTAATTCGCAGTCACTAAGGTATGCAAAAAATTTTTACTGTTATTCTTGTTGTGAATTTGTTAGTTACTCCATGAAGATCATTTATCAGTTGATGGGAAATAATAACTGTAAACTCATTTATTTACATTTCTTCTCATATAGAGACCATCAGTTCTTTGTTCATTGCTCATTTACTGTGTTGTAATGTTTGAAATAGCCACCTCTTGTTGCTTGTATCTTCCCAAATATGGGAAAAAGATTTTCATTATAGACATGCTCATTAGGTAAACAGAGAATTTTAGAAATTTCAGGAGCAAGCTAGAAATGAAGGAGCTGCTAAAAATTATCGAAAAGATGAGGCATTCGAAATTTCATCTTGTCCAGTTATTTCATGAGTTAAAAAAACTATAAATCAGTTTATGACCAATATTATATATACTATCGTATTATACTAGTAGAAAATTAGCTTATACTTTTAAATGCAT